TCAGCAGACCTGCCTCGTCGTAGACACACAGGGCCCTGCTGAGGCCCACATCAAAGGGGCTGCTGCTGTTCTCATCATCCTCCCTCCTTCTGTCTTTCTATATGTCTCACTGTCCTTCTGTGTCTTTACCCCCTCACCTCTGTCTCTGTTTCCATTTTTATACAGATCTCTTTTACCATTGAGGAGCAGCTGTACTGATGTTTTATAAAGTGAATCTTGAGGAAATTCGATTGTAGAGATATAACACCTTATCTAGTACCTCTCTGGGTTATGACACAAAAAATCCCCATGCAGTTACTAGACCGTTGTGCAGGGCATCTTTCATCTGCAGCAAACACTGTACCATGGTTAAATATTTGTAATTGTTGTAATTGTGGGTGACTAAACAGCATGCGGCCCTGATGAATAACCGAGATGCATCAGCACATATGGCAGTCAGGTGTGGTGTAGTACATTTTTAGGAGGTGGTTAGACTTGTGTGCCACCTTGTAGTAAAACAGAAGTGAAAATGCTTGCTAAACTGGTCTCCCCACAACGCTAAAAACACCTCCCTGCCCCCACTCCCCACCACTCAAAGCTCACAAAAATGTCAGGTATGTTTGAAGCAGCAGAACAGCTCAAGGCCGACGCGTGGACACACGCAGGCGGGGGATCGACACACGATCGTTGAAGTTTGGGACGGACCCTTTACTGCACATGTGGACGCACACCACACACACACACACACACACACACTCACACACACTCGTCTCACTCACACCAGTAAACACTAAGTCACAAGGAATGGCATTGTGAATTCTCAACTCTGGATTTTCCCTCTTAATCACAGATTGCCTGATGACTGCTGTGTGTCTCATGCCTCCCTGAAGGAAACTGCTAATGTAGATACTTGGTTTCCTCTCTGCTGCACCACTGCAGACGGCTGGTGCCATACACCAATGAAGGACACTCAGTCAAACCTGTTATTCCTCAAATTCTAACAGAAAAAAATCAACATGCACTTCATTACATGATAATCCAAATAACATTGTTTTATGATTTTATAAGGATTTTTTTTTTTTTTATCATTATGTGCTTTACTCCACACTTCCTGTGACACTGTCAGAATTTTTTTAAAAACTTTTCCTAAACTCGTCAACAGACTTGGTTCAAAATGACTCTATTTACATTCATTGTTTGAACTTGAATGGCGCCACTGGCCCATAGTAACCCCAGCTGGTCTCTCCTGTTAAATCTAGTGCTACCCTCTAGTGGACTCACTAGGGATAGCAGAACTATGCCTGTTTGAATATCTTTTCTCAACCAACCAAAACAGACTCTGGAGAGTAACTTAAAAAGAAGAAGTGGGCATAATGGCTAGATAGTATTATAAAAATATGAATCCCTGCCACAAACTGAACAGCTGTATATAAATTACTGTATAGGTATATTTGGGGCACAGCTAACTCCCTAGCAGTGTCTCCACTGTCCCATGCCTAATTACGAAGGTAATAACCCTCCAGTGCCTGAAATGGGCTGGTACTGAGTACTGGCACTTCTTATTTTTTGTCCCCTTTTGCACCACTAAACACTAGTCAAACGCCTGATTTTTTTTTTCTGACTGGCATTCTGCCAATATCCGACCTACCCTGCCTCTAATTGGCAAGTGTTTGTTGCCTTCGTTCTAGAAAAAAATGACAGTCAGAGGCAGGGAAAGTAAATCTAGCTTAAAGTTGAGAAAACAGCGCTGAAAATTGATTTTAAAAAAAGCAAAAGGATTAGGGTGAGGGTATGTTGTGATTAGGGTTAGGGGTAGGTTTGCACTGAATTAGGGTACTGGTACCTTTCTTGGTCCAATTCAGGCAATGAACCCTTCCAGGCTTTCTAAGTTATTAATCCTGCATATTTTACAGTCTATTGAATGTGGATGCAGTCAATACTTTTTGGGCTGACACAGCTGAAATCAATGTAAAACAGCTGCTACGATTTAGTTCATGATTTGGTTGAGATTTGGTTCGTGACATAGATCTGCCTGCTGGCAAGCAGCGAAGGCAAATGTTCAGGCCGTCAGTTTACTTTGGTGCACAGGACATCCGAAAGACAGATAGATAGAGAGAGAGAGAGAGAGAGAGAGAGAGAGAGAGAGAGAGAGAGAGAGAGAGAGAGAGAGAGAGAAATATAAAAAACAAAGCAGTGATAGAGTATGTGCAAACTGTAGAGGTGAAAGTGAACTCCTCTCCAAGCTGCAAAAGAAAAAAATCCTTTGATGGGCCTAAGCCTGACTCTCACCATTACAGTCAATCACTACCATTTTAAGGATGTGTAAAATCAGATAAGGTAGAGTAAAAACACAAAGATTATTCACAGATAATTTATATATAGGACAACTTTTTTTTTAACTTAAAGCAAATTTCCAAACCCACATTCTTCCGAAATAAATTCCGCCATGTCAGCAGGATTATTTCAGGAAGTTCTCAGTCTATCCTTTATTTTTTTTTAATAGTGATGACTGTTGTGGTAAATATATAAATCACAAAGCAACATTTGCTGAAGACAGTGCCAGTCAGATCAGTCACATGGTGGTCTGGTGCAACAGATGTTTTTTTTTTAGGTCTAAATGTATTCAAATCAAAGAAATGACCGTCCAGTCACCATTAGACTCATGATCAGCCACAGCCCAAGAAAAGGTCAGTTAACCCTGTGTATAGATTAAAACAGTTAATTTAGTTAAAACTAAATCTTAAACAGTTAACTGATACCTTACATATATCAGATTTTAGGATCATACAACTCTTGAAAAATCGATATTGTATGCCATCAGAAACACAAATCCGACCTGAGGATTTAAGTATGTACATAACAGACCCAAAATCATAAAAATAAATAATAAAGATAAAAACAGCCAAGAGCAGCTTTTGAAGGATCCAACAAGTCTATTTTCAATTACAGCATGTTTGGAAGAACGCTGACTTGGCCTCGCCTTGAGGCTCACATCTCAACTGCTACTAACTACTTACAAAAATATTCATCTAGATCTGGAAGCATAATTAAAAAATCTGCCCTGATTCTGCATTTCTGAATTATGTATAGCAGCATGAGGAATTATTGGCAGGGTCTCATGGCTCTGTACTTGGATGTGCAAGCTGTTAGTGGGTGGTATTGTCTGTCAGTCTGGATGTCGTATGAGGCTGCCTTGTGTGGTCTGGTGGTGGCATGGATTGACTTCACCAAGTGACTATTAGAGATGAGCTGTCCCATCATGTCATCACCATAATGACATGGTGCGACATGTACGCGGCCACCAAATGGAGCATCGTCCAGCTGCAGGCCTTGCTTTAATCTCTCGTTCTTGAGTTTGCATAATTTGAAAGGCACTGCGTGTCCAAATATACAACTTCCAGAAAGTGGAGGATTTTGTAATCATAACACTCACAAACATTTCCATCATTACTCCATTAGCATGTGATTAACTACAGAAATACTGACAAACTGGTTTATTTTGTGTTGTTTCAAGCACTTATTCCTTTGAAAATATCACAAAATTGCGTAAAACCACACAAGTGTAGATTTTGTGTTGAAGAAAATGAGAAAACAATGATGCTGGGACTTGACAACAAACTAAATTACTTGCAGAATTCTGGCACAGTAATCAGGAACAAAGACACAGCCCAAATAAAGAATAAATATCTATTGTACTACAAATATCCAAAGATAAAATTATCCACATTGTCACAAGTTATTTTTGACCATTGAAACAGTAGTTTGACTAAATAATCTTAAATCAAAGTCTGCCTGCTAATGTATTCCAGAGCTTTCAACTGCAAACTGCTTACACTGATATAATATGTAGTTAAAAAAGCTAGTAAGAGTACCTTGAGTTAAAAGAAAAGAATGATTCAAGCTTAGCTTACACTGAGAGTTAGTTGAGTAGATTGACAGACACTAAATATGTTGTCAGATCCAGTAGCTGTATAGTTAGTTAGTTTAGCATATAGATTAGAAACAGGGTGAAGAAGCTTGCCTGACTATGAAGACAAAACCTGAAATAGTTTGCTTTTTTACAGCAGAGTTTTAGTAGTGGTGGTAGGGAATGCTGTTATGTTCTGACAGAGCTAGGTTAGCTTTTTCCCTGTTTCCAGTTTTTATGCTAAGCTAATACATTCTGGCTGTAGCTTCATATTGGCCATACAGGGGTGACACTGGTATCAATCTTCTCATCTAACTCTCAGCAAGAAAGCGAAATGAACATATTTCCCCCAAATTTCAAGCTATCAGATTAAAACAGCTGAGAGAAATCTATACTTTTTTTAGAATGAGGTAATTTTTTATTCTAATGCAGCAATTTGCTTCATTCTCATTGCACTGACAAAACAAAACATGTATAATTGTACACAATTATTTTTTTTAAGATTGGGATTTTTGCAGTGTGCAAATCTTTAAAACAACCAATGTGATATCTGACGTCACAATAAAAATGGAGGCATTGTAGGGAGATGTATTGTACTATGAAACAAAAAAACCTATTCATGTTGCTGTAACAAATGAAATGCAGTAACAGTAGTTTATGACCGAGCCAACGTCTTAGTGATTACATGCATTCCACTATCTAACCTTCCAGCCATTCCTTTGCATGAGGCAGTGATTTCATTCTGAGTATGGCATGTCTGACTGTTGTGGGAGTCCGAAGCGTTGAGGCGGTGTGACTGCTGTGGAGGTCGTTCAGGACCACAGAAACCCACTCTGACCTGAGAAAGGACACATTGTGCAGCGGGGTGGACAAGGTCTCTGACCTCAGGGCAGTCTGCGTGCACAACAACACAAGGCTCTTTGTTGCCAGTGACAAAGACGACCCCTCACGTCACTCACACTGTAGCACCACTGTGAGTCCTTCAACGAGCAGACAGAAAGGCACAACATTGACTTAGCAAAATAATAAAGATTTTACACTTGTTCAACCCGTTAGAAACCAGTTTGAAATGTTGATAAAATAATATTTTGACAAAGGGACAAAGAGACAAGTATAAAAGTCAGACGATAATTATGATTTTATTAACAGTTAATTACAGTGTTACTAAATCAATAGAAAACAATCCTTAAATTAAGTGCTTGTGAGTTCAATTAAATAAATACATAAATATCAAAAGTTGTACTAAAAACCGTTAAAAATGTAAGTTTACAAGTCTTTATACAGACTTAGTGTAACAATGCTCCCTGCCATTATCAAAGGCATATACACCACATCTACTATGCTTATGTCCACAGTAGATAAGGCAGATAATAAGAGCAACACAGGACACCTAAACCCGTTTTCATTGGTTTTTTTGACAAAATGTCAGTCAGGTGGTCCACAGATGATTTCATAACCAAGGCTTAATCAGCTCAGTGCTTCCCCACAGACACTGAGTGCAATGCGAGCTTAATAAGCATTAATACAAAAACACATGGAGCAAATGAACAGGTGAGGGAGTGTTAAAATAGCCAGCTCTTTGGTGCAGCCAGGTGTATCAAGAATGCACCAGTTTGACCAGATGTGGACGAGAACAGCTGTTGTACATCATCCGTCAAATATTTGAAATCAATCAGTTGACCAGTCAATCATTTTCAAATATATGCACTGTCCAGATCTGTCACTGACTTGGCTGTATTGGTGATTTAGGCACAGTGTCTGGTCTGTCAGAGGCACAGGGGAGCAACATTTAACCTTCACTCCATAGCAGTCGTTCAGATTCGGGAGGCTGCTGTGGCAACTGATAAAAGGATGGATAAAGGACGCGCTAATTACTTCAACTAGACTATGCATTCGCAGATAATAATGTAACATTTTCTGTGTCATTGTTGTATGTTTGTATGTTTTTCATGACACCTGTCATCCAAATATGTTGCTCCATTATCAGCAGTTACTTTATCAGTTGCTACACTGTTGCAAAGGGACACTTAGTAACCAGAGGAGTCATTCCACCACTACTGCTCTTTGCCAAACAACCACAATACAGCAGCACTGCCCATCTAAAGCTGTGTCGTACACAAATCAAACGGTGCTTGGTGAAACAAGACGCGGTTCCTTCTTTAACAACAACACATTTCTAGGGATAGGGTTAGGTTGCCGTGACAATCGCAGGGACTATTATGGTGCTTGATGGAGCCTGGTTTTCATTCTCAACCTGATAGATCACATCAGGGCGAGCAGCGGCCACCTCCAGCGCGTCTGCCACGGTGATCGCTTCGTCTTCATCTCCCTGGGCCTGTAGCTGGTCAAAGGATCGTTCTGCTTCCTCCGACAGGCGGTTTTCCTCTTTCTCTTCCTCCCTCTGACACGCAGACGCCACAAGGAATAACATCAGCTGGTATACCGCATACAAAAATCACAATAACATGGTTTCATAACTACAGAAGCTCAGCGCAACGTACCTCTTTCTTCATCCTGTAGTATTCATCGATAGCGTACTGATATTTGGCTGACGTTATCCCAAAGAGGGAGGCCATCCTCTCCCCCAGGTAGTCACAGGCTGGAAAAGAATTAGAAACAAATAAATGTGCAAACAATAAAATACAAGTGAAATATCCTTAGCTAAGGAACAGCAGTACGCTGTTTGGACTAATCAATGACAACATCTCCAGTTTACATTATGAATGAAACTCAATATTTCTGTGATTTTAGTACCATTTCATCTTTTTAAGACATTACATCCTCTGCTAACCTCACAAATCCTGGGTTGTCAGCAGCATTAATTATTCAGATTTGTCTAAATTTAGACAGAGTTTTCCTAAATAGAGTCCACAGATTCATCATAATATTTAATTTTAAAAACACCGGGAAAAATTCTTGCAACGTTTTTAAAAACAATCTACATTTCAGCATTGATGTAAGGAATGTGTGCGTAAGTGTTCAGAGACAAGGTTCCTGTATCACAAAGCAAGTTCAACTTCGTCTGACTCTTGCAACAGATCATGTTGCTTCATGATACAGGCCCACTGTCCCTCAGGTTGTCAATAATGATGTTAATGAACAAACCTGAGATGGTGGACGTGGCCGCTCTCCACATGTGAAACCAGAAGTATGGACCCCAGGTCAGCTTAGACTGCAACACACAAACATACAAGAGGACACTGTTAAATGTGTACAGCGCTATATGTACGTCTCCTATCCCTCCTTATTTGAAACACAAATCCCCTCTCCCTCCATCATGCTCTCTTGTCCTCATTTAGCTCCTTGTACCCTCACACATAAATCCCCCGTCCCTCCGGCGTTTCCTCACCCTCACCGCATCGACTGGGGAGGACAGCAGGTCTTTCCTCTCCGGCTCCTTGTCCTCTCCCTCCTCCTCGTCCGTGCTGTACTCCTCCATGGTCTCCCCGCTGGAGAAATGGATAATCCTGCGAGGAGCCTTCTCCCTCTGCTGCTGCTCCTCTCTCTTGTCCAGCTCCCCCAGCTCCACACTCTCAAAGTCTTTACCCGGGCTCTGAGTCTGGGAAGACATCACAAGCAAACATTAAGACAGTGTGTGTGTGTGTGTGTGTGTGTGTGTGTGTGTGTGTGTGAATGTATTTCATAAGGGAGTCAGTCAATGCAGCCTTAAGGTGGGGTAAAACCTGTGTGAAAAATATCTCTAGTGCAATATCAGGAGCAACCACAGCGACATGACACAGCTGACAGTGACAACAAGCTACAGGCACTGGGCGACATCATTAGCCCCATAAACAGAGCGGGTTAGCGTTCACTATGGTCATTATAAAGAGGTTGTAACAGAGACAGCACTGCACCGACCTGCTCCACGTCCATGGTCTGTCCTACCGACACATTAACGGTAGTGAGATACAGCGATATATCGGCCATTGTTGCCGTCTTCTTTGTATCTCTGGATGCTGCGCCCACCTCAACGCGTCCCCTCCGCACGGTCAGAGCCGGAAGTGCCGTGCACCCCCCCCCTCCTCCCGCCCGTACGTAACGTCCACAGATAGCCTATAGTTACATTACAGTGTACAGTACAGAGCTCATAACGCTACATTTGAGTCTAATATTACTCTTTATTTTTTCAAACGGTATTATTTTAGTAGGCTACATTTCACATTTTGTTTTATTGACTACGTCTCCCTCATAGGTCTACTGTTTATGTTTCATATTATGGAAAAATAAAAAGCTTACATATGTTTTACTGTACAAATTGTTATTTGGTGAGTCCTCGTTAAAATGTTATTTTTTTAAACTAAGACAAAAGAATATTTGTTGTTTAAAAAAAAGGGGGAAAAAAAGCCAAATTTAACAATTGAAACTACAGTTTATCCGAAGTCTTTCTCAATATCGAATTATACTGTGTCTGTATTAGTGTTTTGATTTTATTGCCATTATGCTTTTAGTACAATATGAATTGTACAAAACCTACAAGTGTGGAAAATACATGTAGTCCTTTTTCACAGAATAGACCTTTTTTTTTTTTTTTACAGCAGCCATTTTGACATATTAGGACAAACACAGGTGTTACCAATGATATTAATAATGTTCTGTCCCATTCATGTCAGACAGAGTCTGCTATTGTGCATGTTGGCTCACTGGTAAGGCTCTGCTACACTAAATGGAAGTGAACCTTAATTAGTGTCAGCAGTAACACCTGTGTTTACCCTACTAATTGTCAAAATGGCTGCTATGAAAAAGATCTATACATGTTCACATGTCATCGTAGGAAAAGCCCAGGTGTTAGTGATAACATTAACAGTGACTGAATGCAGCTGCTTTGGAGTCGGGTACTGTGCATGTTGGCTCACTGTCACTGTGGGTCAGCTTGGCACGGGTCCAGGGGCCCAAAATCTCTGTTTCTGTTTAAAGTGAGGATATTTACATTTCTTGTTGGAAAGTAACAGGTTACTTTTCATCTTGATCCTGCAACATTCAGTATTTATTTGCTGATGGTAAGTCTGATCTGATAGTTACTCAATGGGCACTGGTAGACCACTGGGGGCCTGTTACATGTCTGTGCACATGCTCTCATAATCCATCCATGGTTTCAGCATTACAGTAGTGGAACATGAGAGCAATTTTACTCATGTAATGTAATTAAATACCGTTTTGAGTTAGTCTATTGTGCTTGAGTATTTCCATTTTGTGCAATTGTATACATCTACTCCACCAGAGGGAGATATTGTTAAAACTACTGCTTATGAATATTTCAGTTTTGTTTTTGCACAAATAAACTTGTTTCAAGAATTTTCTGAAATACTTTTACTTTTATATACATTTAGAGTGGCAGTATAGCCATATTCTGTCTTGTTTCAAAATGCACCAATTTATATATCCAGAATATTTTATAAACTATTTAATGTAAAATAAAGGTTTCAGGACTTAATTACTGACAGAAATGCCTTCACAAGGCAGAGGGTTTTTGCAGATTAAACACCACTTTTTGGTAAAGCAGTTGTTAAAATCGGTTTCACTTCATAATAATCCTACAATCTATATTTATTACTGCAGCTGCTACTATCTACTTTTGTTACTACATTTAGCTGATTCTACTTCTGTACCTTTATTTAAGCTTAAGCTTTTGATTGCACTTTTCACATTAAATTGAGGAATTACTACTTCATAGTAGTAAAGAAAGTGAACTTTTCATCCAGTTCAGCATTTTCTCTGAGGTAAAGCAGAAAGCTTGTGAATTGTTTCAACCCTGATTTTACTATTTAATGCCACTAGGTGTCAGTAGAGCTTCATCCAACACAGAACTGAACTCCTCTGAGGCAGCTGTGTCACTGAGTGGGCAGTGAATTATTTGGGTCTGAATCCTGAGTTATGCAGATAATCAGCAGAACCCTTTAAATCTACTCTATAATCAATGATCACTCTTCAGTTACCTGCTCTCTCCCTGGAGAGCTGCAAAGTAAAAATGTACCACGAATCGCAACACTCACTGTCCAGTGATGTCTTTGGATGTTAAAACTCTTCTTCTCGTCTTCCCATAAAAAATGCAAGTCAGCCTCATTTTGTGACTTCACGCAAGTGTTTGCTTGAGGTTCACAAGGAAATCAGCCACGTTTTTAAACAGTTTTAATCATTATTAGCCGATATGCCTTCATCTCCAGAATATCCCTGAATCTTCTCACACTTCGGTTCTCCTAGCATCATTCTCCATTTCTGTGGATATTAAATTTGCGCTCTCCAAGGATCTTTACAGCTTCACCTCTTCTCACCTAGTTTGCTTGGATTGGCCCAAATCAGAAGTTGTGTTGCAGTTTTTCATTGGCTCCATCTTTTTTCCCATTAGCAACTGACAACGGCATTTAAGCAGGCTATTTGTAATCAGTCACACGATTGCTCAGGTCAGCTGTTTATTGGACAAAACATTATTAATCTTCAGCTGTCAAAAATTATGGATTTCTTAAAAGGGTAAAATAACAAGCACAGGAATGCATCTGTTGTGTCTTATGGAAAAGGTTACTGCTATCATGATGTTGCAAGTCATTGAACTTCGAAAAGCTGCATGTCCCGAGCTGTTATTGTACTAATAGATGGATTTTTGTGTTATGCCTGCTCACACATGATTTGTAACCACCAAAAACGGATCTTTGTCTACTAAGTACTATAAATAAAAAGCAAGGGCATACAAATAGTTCATATTTGGCAGTTATTTTTAATTTTGCTGTGACTTTAAAACTACAAAGTCATGATCTGGGAGGCATTTGGACAAGTACAGGAAAGTTACAGCAGCCAAAAAGAATCAGTAAATCAATTTTATTATGGGTTTTGTAAGAGACAGTGCATTTTTCTGATTGGATTCTCACCTTAAATTGCCCTCTCCAGGATTCACTTGAAAGTGGCGTGAAATCACGTGTGTCAGGCTAGGCTGCGGCGCTGTTGTTTCATGCAGATCTGATTCGACTGGAGCGTTCTCCACTTCTAACGTGAGCCAAAACCAAGAGCACAAACAGTCCAGAATTTGATTCAGCTGCACCAAATAAGGTGTAAAAAGCAGCCTAAGTGGTAACAGGTTTGTGGATGTGTTCACCTTCTCTGGCTTCGGGAGAAAGTCGTTCGTGTTTCAGTAAACCTACTGCCCAGACAGGATAAGAGCATATTTATGAAATCAGTTCAAATATAATGGTTTTCAAATGATGGAGGTATGGGTGCAGATATTAGGATTGCACGGAGCTATTATTCCTAAACCTTGAGCAAAGTTTATTCAGGTGTCCTGTGCAGGCTCTGTGGAAATAGTGTGTGTGCAGGAGCAATAGAGTTGTGTGCATGATATGTGTCTATGTTGTGCATACTTGAGTTTTCTACTACATGTTTTGTCTCTGCCTTATGCTAAACACATCATTCTCCCAGACGTTATTAGTATTATGGTACGTTCCTTTCCAGCGATGTCCCTTTTACACCCTGGGTGATATGAGCTCTGCTGTCGACGTGAATCATCCCTTTCACTGGCCCATTGCCTTCAGATAGTTATAGGTCTCGCACATGCTTTTCACTAAGACTGTAGGAGTGTTGTTAACAGCTCTACAAAACAGACACGGGAGGGCTTTGAGAGGCGGTGAATCAACAAAAGGAGCTGAAATAAAATGTACGGTTTGCATGGTTACATCCAGGTAATAAACAGACTCCAAGATCGTAAAGGCACTACAGAACACGTCTTCTAGGGAAAAAACAAAAGTGACCTTTCTGCTTTGACCTCCCCCATTCACTTCACTAATGAAAGTGACATTAGTCAGACATGGAATGAATCACTGACTCACTCCTCATACACTGTGACACTTTCACAAATGTCTTAGAACTGACATGCCCAGCAGTTATTGTGCTCTCTCTGCGCTTTGGCTCAAGGTTAGTGACACTGAACGGCTGAATTAGTGAATGATGTTGCTTGAAATAAAGTTAAAGTCCCCTTTCTCACTCAATATAATTCTAATCAAACACAAGCTTTGTATTTTCGTAACCCTGCCTTATCTATGAAAAGGCATTTAAAGAAAGACTTCTGTGTTGCAATAGGCTGCTACTGTTTCAAGGCCTATCAAGCTTCCCATTCTCACTTGGCACTTGACATAATGCAGTGTACAATGGTAACAGTGGACGATTTAAAAATGTTGAATAATTTTTTAAACAGAGGTAGACAAAAGCAGCCTTCAACATTACCTGGCAGCTTAGCTGGGAACCCTGCTATTTGAAATGACAGCTTTTGATGGCAGATTTTTTTCAGTTGTACCCAGCTAGCTAATTAAACTAACTCCTGCTCCATGAGTTGGTAACAACACTCACCAGCTGACTTTTGAATGTTTCAGGCTGACTTGCTTCCGGTGTGTTTTCACTTCTAATGTTACAAAAGAAAAGGCTCGGAGGTTGAACATTGACCGATGTGTTTGGCAAATGTCCTGCTATCTTAAGTAACAAGTTTGGCTGAAGTGTAAACCTGAAACACATCAAATATAAAGACAGAACTGCTATATTTAGAGCATCCAGGAACAGCTTCAGTGGATGGATTTGGGTATGGGCCTTTTATTTTTAAAGAAAACGAATGACACTATAAACTAATGAAACGCTCCTCAACTGTGTCCCTGGTTAATGTAATGGTAAGGTAACAGAGGTTAGCAATTCAGCCCCATTTCTTCCACTCTTCTCTTGTGTTTTTGGTTTAAGAAAAGCAAAACAGATGTTAATCCTTCAAATTTCTTAAACGTGTCTCTCTCATTACAGCCTCACACAGGCTGCTCCTAAGATGTGGAGAAACAAGCATGCCATGTAGTTACAGTTGCACAATAACTGTGAGTGAGTGAAGTTTAGATAACTGCCAATTAAAACTGGAGGAGTGATATGTGAATTAAGAGACTTTAAAACCAGCAGCAGGAGCCTTCCAAGTTAAGCACATGTAGGCCGGACTTTCTGAATTACAGCAACACAAAGGAAATGAGGTGGCATCTCTTGGGCAAGGAA